TACTACTACTACTACAACGACTACTACTTTTACGACTACTACTAGTACTACTACTACTACTACTACTACGGCTAAGACTACTACTACTAGTACTACTCCTACCGTAACTACTACTACTACGACGACTACTACTACTATTGCTAGTACTACTACTACTACTACTACTACGACTACTACTACTACGGCGACTACTACTACGACTACTACTACTACGACTACTACTATTACCTGTTCTATTACTATTACTATCACGACTACTACTACGACTTTTACTACTACTATTACTACTCCTACTACGACGATTACTACTACTACTACTACTACTACTACTACTTACTACTAACGACTACTACTACTACGACTACTACTACTACTGCGACTACTACTACTACTACTACTACTACTACTACGACTACGACTACGACTACTACTACTACTACGACGACTACTACTAGTGCTACTACTACTACCACGACTACTACTACTACTACTACGACTACGACGACTACTACTACTACTACCACTACTACTACTACTATCACTACTACTGCGACTACTACGACTACTACCACTACTGCTACTACGGCTACGACTACTACGACTACTATTACTACTGCTACTACTACTACTACTACTACTACTACTACTACTACTACGGCTACTACTACGACGACTACTACTACGACTACAACTACTACTACACCACGACTACGACGACTACTAGCACTACTACTGTTACTACGACTACTACTACTACGACTACTACTACTACTGCTACTACGACTACTACTACTACGGCTACTACCACTACGACTACGACTACTACTACTACTACTACTACTACTACTACTACTACTACGGCTACTACTACGGCGACTACTACTACTACTACTACTATTATTGCGACTACGACTACTACTACTACTACTACTACGACTACTACTAGTACTACGACGACCACGACGACTACGACTACTACGACTACTACTGCTACTACTACGACTACTACTACTACGACTACTACTACGACTACTACTACTAATGCTACTACAACTGCGACTACTACTACTACGACGACTACTACTACTACTACCACGACTACTACTATTACTACTACTACTACGACTACTACTACTACGACTACTACTACTACTACTACTACTACTACGACTGATACTACTACGACTTTTACTACTACCACGACTAATACTACTACTACTACTACTTTTTCTACGGCTACTACTACTACGACTACTACTACGACTACTACTGCGATTACGACGACTACTATTACTACTACTACTACTACTTTTACAACGGCTATTACTAGTACTACGACGGCTACGACGACTACTACTACTACGACTTCTACTACGACTACTATTACTACTACTACTACTACGACTACTACTACTACTACTCTTACGACTACTACTACTACTACTATGACGACGACTATTATTACTACCACGACTACTACTATTACTACTACTACTACTACGACTACTGCTACTACTACTACTACTACGACTACGACTACTACTACTACTACTACTACTACGACTGATACTACTACGACTATTACTATTACCACGACTACTACTACTACTACTACTACTACTTTTTCCACGGCTACTACTACTACGACTACTACTACGACTACTATTGCGACTACGACTACTACTACTACTATTACTACTACTACTACAACGGCTATTACTAGTACTACGACGGCTACGACGACTACTACTACTACTACGACTACTACTACTACTACTGTTACTACTCTTACGACTACTACTACTACTACTTTTATTACGACGACTATTATTCTTACCACGACTACTACTATTACTACTACTACTACTACGACTACGACTACTACTACCACGACTACTACTACTACTGCTACAATTACTACGACTGATACTGCTACGACTATTACTACTACTATTTCTGCGACTACGACTACTACGACTACTACGACTACTACTACTACTACTAGTACGACTACTACTAATACGACGACGCCTACTACTACTACGACTACTGCTACTACGACTACTACTACTACTAGTAATTCTGCTACGACTACTACTACTACGACTACTACTATTACTTTTACGACTACGACTCTTACTACTACTACGGCGACTACTACTACTACTTCTACTACTGCTACTGCTACTGCTACTGCTACTACTTTTACAACGACTACTACTACTACGGTTACTACTACTACCCCTACTATTACTGCTACTACTACGACTACTCCTACTACTACTACTGCTACTACTACTACTACTGCTACTACTACTACGAGTTACTACTTTTATCCCCACTACTACTACTACTGATACTGCTATTACTACTCTTACTAACATTATTATTATTACTACTACTACCACTATTACTACTACTGCGGCTACTACTACTACTACTACTACTACTACTACTACTACTACTACTAGTACTACTGCTAGTATGACGACGACTACTACTACTACTATTACGACTACCACTACTACTACTACTACTACTATTACTACTACTACTACTACTACTACTACTACTACTACTACTACTACTACTACTACTACTACTACTAGTACTACTGCGACCACAGAGCGCACTCGCGAAGCGTCGAGGTCAGCGTATTGTGGATCTCGGCAAGGTCAGCTCACTGTGCAACTCGTGTGGAACGCGGGCCGTCTTCAATCCGTTAAACCCGTGCAACTTTTTTGAGCGAGTGTGCGCGGTGCTGAGGCGAGAACTACATTTCGAAAGCGATCGGCCCCCAATCCGTGAAACTCGTGGACATGTGTATAGCGACTGTGCGCGGAGGTAGGTCGGGAGCTGCTTATAAAAACCAGCCGCCCTCAAGTCGCACATCTATACATATATATATGTATCGGTGTATATGTATATATGCTTATACATGTATATGTATATACATGTGTATATATATGTATGTATACATATATATATATATATATATATATATATATTATATATATATATATATATATATATCGTGTCTATATGTCTACATGCACGAGTGCGCGCGGCGCTGAGTTGAGAGATGGATTTTGCAAGCGAGCCGCCTTCAATCCGTGACGCTCGTGAGTTTTTTTCAACACGAATGCGCGCAGCGCTATCGCGATATTCACATTTTGAAAGCGGGCCGCGCCGCCCTCAATACGTGGGACTCGTGCACTTGTGCTTCGAATGTGCGCGGTGTTAAACATCCAGAGCAACATTTGGAGAACAAGCCGCCCTCAATCCGTTAAGATTTCTTCTTGTAAGTTTTCAAATCGAGTATCAAAGTCTTTGCGTTCTGGTCGCCGGTTCTTCTTATACGTGTCGGTTGCGGGGGGAAGGTGGATGATTTGTGTTGTTTTTGCTGTTTGGCACGGTGCTAAAGTTATCGTCTGGCTAACCCCCTCCCTGGATTTTTTTCTTGTGCGGTGTCAACAAAAAGTGGGGCTTCTTGTATACTCCCTGAGGTTTTTGAGGAGTCGACGGGGAAGCCAAAGGCCCATAATATCTTTGGGATCGTCGGACTTCTATTTATTTGTGCGTCCCTGGGCCCCTTCATTGTACTCGTTGCGCTTTTCCCACCCGTGCTCACATCAGCCTGAGCACCAGCATTCGCACCATTGCACGCCCCAGTAATCCACAGGGCTGACGTATCGGTCATTTCGCGCTCTCTCGGTGGCGTGCTTCTTTCTGTGGCGCTCCCTCTTGTTCTAGCGGCGCCCACGAGAGAGCGTGTGAGAGGCGCTGCTTTCTGAGAAGGCGGCCTTCTGAGCAGGCAGGGGCGTTTCTCAGAACGAACAAACGGCACACATTTAATGAGGCTGAGGTCCACGCCCCCCTTGGCGGCGCTCCTAGCGCCGCCCCTGACGCGCTCCGCGCGCCAGGGAGGGAGGCATAGCGCGGATGCAAGAATTCCTCGAGGACCTCCAAGAAATTATGCTCATTATGCTGCCTTCTTTTTTTCTAGTCGTGGGCACCGCCAGGGAATGTCTCCAGCGTCGCCCAAGCATATTATGATACGCTGAGGGATCTTATAGGATATGCTCGGTGGCGGGTGCTCTCTGGCTATACCGCTCCGGCAGCGATATGTTACAATATGTTTGTACATATATATATGTATATATATATATATGTACGTGTATGATTGTATGTATGTATGTATGCCTGTCTGTATGTATGTATGCATGCATGCATGCATGCATGTATATGTGTTTGTCTGTTTGTTTGTTTGTTTGTATGTATGTATGTATGTATGTATATCTATATACACATGTACGTTCGGGTCGGACGTGCGCCTCCAGCAGAGGCGCATGGTAAAAGCGTGTCCTCCTCACAGCGGAGGCCCATGCCAAGAAACGCCCTGCTTGCCTCCAGGGTGCACCGGGTGTCTTGAGTTTCGATGCTTTTGCGATGGAAAGCGTGACGCTCCCCCACCAATCATCCATGGACGTCCTTGGGTTTCCGGGTCGGGTTTCTCGTGGAAGGCTTCTCGTGGATCGACCCCCACTGTGATGTCCCACGCCACGACGTGTCTTCCTCTGTGACGCCCCCCCCCCTTCCCTCAGCGAGCAAAGAACGGTATAACATAAACTTTCCGCCGTCGGGGACACCTGCTCCTGGGCGGCTGGAAAGTTTATACCCCCACGGTACCATCGTAAGGGTATATACACTTTCCAGCCGCCCTGGGACAGGCGCCCCCGACAGAGAGAAGATTTATTGTACACCGTTCTTCGCCCGTTAATTCCCGTTACACGCCGGTCGTTGAAAGTAGGTATTTTTGGATTCCCAGATCCCACTCTAGTTCAAGCGCCTTCCTACTTCAAGAATCGACACGCTTTTGCTGTGTTTAGTTATTCCCGGGGGGGGCCTGGACCCAATCCACTTTATCCGCCTTCCTACTTCTTGTTTCTACCTACTTCTTCCGACCGACGTGTACTTCCCCCCGCTTCGGGCGGCGGGAGGCTGGACGCCCTCGCCGACCCGTCGGAGCTGCTGCCGCGGCTGAGCGTGCGCGCCCGGATGGCGGAGTGGGAGGCGCTGGCCGCCGCAGAAGCGCGGGGGGCGCCCTCTCGGCCGTGCGCCGCCCCTCCGTGGCAGTCTGACCTCCGATGCGCTCCTGGCATCGCTCGGACGTGAGGGGAGGCGGATTTCAAGCTGAGTGCTGCTGGGGAAACGTTTCAACGCTTGGCGCCTTCGTTTCCTTTTCGGCGGGCTGGTGGATTCGGGGCATGCGGACTTCCAGTCAAGCGGTTGCGTGATGGTGGAGCGATGCGCGGGATGGGGAAAACAAACAAAAATCTCAGCGAGAACCAGTGAGGACGATCCTGGACCATCGAGCAAGCAAAAACACGCACGAAACCGAAAAATGCACGGGAAGTGGACGTCCGAGCGATGGCGAGTCCTCCCTCCGTCCTCCCGCCCCTCGCTCGGTGAAGAGCGGCGGCGAGCGAAGGGGGGGGGAGCGGGAGATGGAGGGCCTTCTCAGAAGACCGGGGGACTGAAAGAGCCTTCCGAAGAGGGCGCGCCTCCTCTCGCTTCCAAGCCGGGCTCGTCGCCGAGTCAGAACCGCATGCACGGAGACTCTCTGTGCTCGGCGCGGATCTTTGGAATCGGTGCCAGGTTCCCTTGGCGGCAGCGCCCCCGGAGCCGCCCCTGGCTCGCTCCGCGCGCCAGGGAGGGGGTTCCAGCGCCAATCCAAGAAATCCGCGCGGGGCTCCGAGGGCCTCTGTTTGCGCAGTTCTTCTTCCTCCATGCATGGGCGAAGGACATAGCCGTCTCTGCGGCCTCGCGCGCTGGGCGTTGGGACCGCGACCCCGCGGGTGCGGAGTATTTTGTTGGCGGACGCCCCGCGCAAAACGTGTCCGTGCGACCGCGTATCTGCGGAATCGTGCTCCTGAATCCAGGCCGCGAAAGCGTGGATCTAAATACGTTCGCCGCTCGTAATTCTTCCTCCCGATGCCGGTTCGTGTCCGTCGTTGTCGCCTTCGTGGGCCTCCTCTGAGGCCATCGTCGCCACGGCTCAACCAGCTTCGAAATTCTGGTCAGAACGCGCCATGGGAGAGGTCTGGGGAGTAGTGGTATGGGTATCTTTTGATTTTCCCAGTTCCCTCTCCGATCCTTCCCTCCCTCTCCTCCCTTCCAGTGCCTCCTTCCTCGTTTCTCCCTCGTCTGGGCCTCCCCGCCTCCTTCCCCCCCTCGACCCCCCGGTTTATCATTAGCACCTCACTGTAATCAAATATTTCTGGGGGGCGGTTATCGCCGAACGATATGATTAGCACCGCGCAAATGGAACGAACATAAATAATTCCCGCGCCCCGGCTCGGGTGGTATCCCGATTGGAATTGGAATCATAAGAAGAATGGCCTATGAGTAGTAAGAATACTACTACGAATCATGATAATAGTAATCATACTAATAAGACTGTTAATAAGACTACGGATGAGAGTAATACGAGTAATACTAATACGAATCATATTCATAATCGAACTAAGAACCATACACATACTCATACTAAGCACACACACGACAATAACAATATTCATGGCAATAATAATAAGGATAGTAGTAAGAGTAATACGACTACTGAACGTAATAATAATAGTAACCATAATAATACGACTCACAATCATAATCGTACTACGAATTATCTCAAGACTACGAGTCACTCTAATCATCATACTCGTACTAGTTTTACTGAGAAGTTCTAATAAAAATAAATGCGACCTCTAATACTAATAGCACATGTTCCTCATTCTCTTCATCATCCTTGTCCTGTACGATTTGTATTGCCACCCCTGTTGAAACATTGCCGTTCCCCGGCCGTCGTGTGGGGTAGTGCATCCGAGGATATCGCCCCCACCACGCACGGCGCGTTATCTTAGCACCGCGCCCGCACAACATGATTACGACAGCTTGTCCAAAAAGACAAGAAGAACAATATGACCGCTAATAATAATACGAATGCAAATGCGAGTAAGACAAATATTAATAACACGACTATACATACGAATACGAGTACGCATAATCATAAGGGTAAAACTGCGCAAGCAGACGGGCTCCCCTGCTTCTTTCCTCCCTCCTTTTCTCATTTTCTTCATCATCCTTGTCCTCTACGAGTTTTAATATATTGAAACATTGTTGTTTCCCGGCCGTCGTGTGGGGTAGTGTGCATCTGAGGATATCGCCCCCGCCACGCACAGCGCGTTATCTTAGCACCCGCATCGCCAAAATGATTCGCCCCCCATCGTAGACACGGACGGTTCCTTTTCAAAGCTGGGCTCTTCCTTGCGTGGGACTTACTGTTGTTTTTGATGTTGATGTTGATGTTCTTGTTGTTGTTGTTGTTGCTGCTGCTGTTGTTGTTGGTGTCGCTGTTGTTGGCCTTGATGTTCTAGATACAATTATTGTTGCTGGTATTCTTGTCGTAATTCGTGTTGGTGTCGTGCCGTAAGGAAGTCTTAAGGAGGAAGAGGAGCAGGAGGAGGACTTGTTCTGTTTAGCTAGGCCAAGGCCTCTTGACTGAGGCCTTGACCCTCGGATTGATCCGTAATGGGGAATATGAGCCAAAATGGCTACGGGGGGGAGGAGGAGGAGGAAGAGGAGAAGGACCCCTGATGATGAGGAATAGGAGAAGGAGGACCCCTGAGAAGGACGAAGAGGAAGAGGAAGAGGACCCCTGCTCGGAAGGCCGAGCGCTGGGAAGGCGCGCGGCCACTCCAGTTCTCGCCCAGACCGACCACTTGACGCAGACTCGTCTGCGTCCAGAGCAGTTTCTAAGGAGTTCTCAGGCGAGGCGCTTGTTTCAGAACCACAAGGAGACCATATTGCGAGAATGTCTCAGGCGGTTTGCTTGTTTCGGCGAGCAGACTCCTCTGCGTTCACATAAAGGTGCGAGATGCCAAGGTAATGCTTCTGGGGTGCCAGGTGCGTTATACTTTCGCCGGAGAGGGGGGGGGGTCTTTAATTGCTTGATGCGGTTATTCTCTGATCGTCGGACCTTCCCATCTCCTCGGGCGGAAGACAGAGTACGGTCGGACGGAGGTATCAGATCGAGGTAGGTTCGGGGAGGATGCCACAATGTCCTTCGTGTTTGTTGGTTCTTCTTGTGCATCCTGGGGCGAGGGCGCCCTCCAGTGCTCCTCAGACTGGGTCAGCGGCGGGGCTCATGTCCGCAAAGGATGTGATTCCGTCCCAGGTCGGACCGTATCACTCGCACGCCGCCGATGGGAGTCCGTCAGAGTGTGCTGATCCTTCGTGTTTGTCTGAATGTGATCCGTGTTTTCCAGCACTGACACGCCGGGCCTCCCAGATAGGGCCCGACTGGATGGGGTCAAAATATCGCGCCGCATCGCCGATGCATCGGCGATGCGGCTCGATGTGGAGCCCGATGTTTCTTCACGCCGACGGCCCCGAGGCATCGCCGATGCAGCACCGATGCAGCACCGATGCGGCGCGAGCCTCCGTCCCCGTCTGCTCGGACCCCTTCCGGGGGGCCTCTGAACGCTCAGGGCGGCTTGCCATGGATGCTGCTCTGCTCCCGCATCCCCCCCTCCACCCTCCACCCCCTCCCGCCTCTCTCCGGCGCGAGCGGGTGGGGAGAAGCGGCTCCCTCGCAGAGCGGCCAGGAGGGGGCCACCCCACCCCGGGGCGCTGGGCGGACCCCTGCCCCGGGCGGCCCGGGCGGTGCGCCATGTTCGGTGCGACGGGCAAGTGGATATCGCCGGAGCCGCGAGACAAGGACGCACATGCTGCTTTTGCGCGGAGCAGAAGCCCACAGAGCATGCAAGTTCCCTCATGCTCTGGAGTGTTGCCTTTGAGCTGCTTCTGTGGGGTGGGTTCGTGACCTCGGGAATGCGAATCTGCAGTAATCCACCAGGGATGGATTCGGGGGCGCAGAGATGCTGTGACTTAGGACGAGTTGTGGCCTCGGGAGAGCGGATTCCGTGTGATTTGCAATGGTTTGCCGTTTGAGGAGTGCGAGCTTGATTTGGATTAATTTGGGAGGGATTGGCGCTTCGGACAAACAACGAAGCTGGCGTATTTTACTAGGGAGTGGCGTCGGGAGCGCGAGTCTCACGTAATTTGCTAGGGGTTGTGGCCTCGGACCGCCAGCGTGACGTAATTCATTGAGGATTGTGGTCTCGGGGCGCGATGCTGGGAGGGTGAGCGGTTCCTTTTCCAGCTCCCTCCTTCGCGCGGGCGTCAATCATTACAGCAGTCCCTCTTGAAGAGAGGACATGTATATTTGTAACGTCGGAGCTGGGACTGATGTAGGGAATAGGAACACCTACGCCTCGCAGCCTGTTGCCCCCCCAAGGCGGCTGGCGGAGATTGATGACGATACAGTGGAGGCCCATGCCAAGAAACACCCTGCTTGCCTCCGGGGTGCGCTTGGTTTCTTGGGTTTCGATTGTTTTGCTATGGATGGCACCAAATATCAATGGTCGTCCTGGGGTCTCAGGGTCGGATTTCTTGTGGAAGTTTTCTTGTGGGCTGGCCTGCACTGTATGTGTCCATGTATGCCAGCATACAATACTCACATGCTTGCGGTAGGTCCCGCGGCCGTGCCAGCCCAGCACCTTGGATGGCCATTCTTCGTGGGGAGCACAGGAGGCCGTATCGTTTTGACTCCCTGTGTTTGGAGCCTTGGGAGAGCCATGGCATTTGTCAAGTTGTCCGCGTCATGTCGGGGGTTCTAGTTTCCGCCTCCCGTCGTCTTCCTCCATTTTTCGATTCTCTCTTGGGCTCCTGAGGGGCAGTCCGGGGGGGGGGCGTCCGAGGGCACTCTTGGGGCCGTCCTCGAGCCCTCTTGGGGCCCTCCCTAGGCCGTCCTGCGCCGCCCAGGAGCCCTCCTGGGCCGCCTTGGTGCCGTCTGGGAGGATGCCCGGGCAATCCGGGGGCCCGCTCGGACCCGTCGTGGGGCCATCCTTGGAGGCCTCCCGGGCCGTCTCAAGCAGAAGAGGGCCCGAACCGGATGACGATGCCCAAAGCTTGCAAAAGCCGTCAGAAACACTTCGGTTGCCTCTCCCCAAGCCACTCCTTGTTACTTCTCGTGCTCTGTATCCTCCTCCGTATCCCTCCGCACCCCCTTTCTCCCACTACTAGCTCATCGTTCTGATCGTCCTCTTCTCCTCCTTTCCTCCTCAGCCCTCTCATCATCCATTCCACCTTTTCCTTGCCTTCCCACGATTCCGCCCCTTCCCTTACTGCCGTCCCGTCCTGCGTGCACTCCCCTCACGTCCCTCGTTCTCGGGGGTGGTGCGGGGCCCTCAGCGGATCCGTTTTCTTGCCCCTCCGAGGGCAGTGAGCTGTTTGCTCTGGGGTCGAGAGCGCTGGACGAGGGCAGAATCTTGCCTCGCATGCCCGCGCGAAGCCCGTGATGCGTCGGAGGATGGGTGCAGGTCGAGGGAGACCTGCGTAGGTGTCTTGCTGTCAGGGCTGTGCAAGCTGTGCAAAGGGGGTGGCGCCAAGAGAAGCCCACTAGAGTTTGCCCCCCACAGGGGCCCTCTCCAGGCTTGTGCGTCACCCCACCTACAGGGCCCCTTCTGAGTGGAAAGTCGCTTTCATTAGCCACTTGGACCCAGATTTTGTTCAGCCTCGTAGCTCAAGGAGACTGTGTTTCCGATGGCTCTGTGCTTGCTTGCTTGCTATACTGCCCTCTTCCTCCCTCCCAGCTCCCTCCTCCTCCTCCTCCTCCTCCTCCTCCTCCTCCTTCTCCTCCTCCTCCTCCTCCTCCTCCTCCTCCTCCTCCTCCTCCCCCCTCCTCCTCCTCCCTCCTCCTCCTCCTCCTCCTCTCCTCTCCTCCTCCTCCTCTCCCTCCTTCCCCCTCTTTCCGCTCCCATCTCCTCCTCCTCCTCTCCTCCTGCTCCTCCTTCCTGCTGCTGCTGCTCCTCCTCCTCCTCCTCCTCCCTCCTCCTCCTCCTCTCTGCTCCTCCCTCCCTGCCTCCCTCCCTCCCTCCCTCCCTCCTCCTGCTGCTCCTCCTCCTCCTCCCCTCTTCCTCCCCCTCATCCCTCCTCTTCCTCCTTCCTTCCCTTCTCGCTTCCCTCCTTGCGTTCCCCTTCCGTTCCCTCTTGCTTCCTCCTTACGACCCCAGCCCCTTTCCAGTCTTCCTATCCACTTCTGCTGCTGCTGTTGCTTCTCTCCCCCCTCCCCCTCGCCCGTCCGTGCCGCCATCGCTCCCGGCCTCCCGTGCTGCCTGGCCTGGCTTGAGCGGTGCCGTGCAGGAGGGAACGAAACTGTGCGAGATCTCGGTGCCCCACATCCGCGACGCCCACGATATCGTGGGGCTTCAGCCGGAGGCCCCCCCCTTCTCGTAATTACTCCGTGCCCAACGTGGGTTCAGCGCTGTCCGCAGAGGCATGGAGGGGTTGGGTGGGTGGGGAGGGGAGCGTTAGGAGTAGGGCGGGCGAAGATGAGGATGAGGGGGTGGAATATGAGCTGGGGCGGGAGGAAAGGATTGACACACCGGGCTTCTGCTTCATGCACGCTCAAGGCAAGCGGGACAAGGATCAGGAGAAAGGAAATAAGAAGAGAGGGATGTTGATGAGATGGGAGGATGAGAGAGGGAGGTAGAGCGTGGAGGAGAGAGGAGGTAGCGAAGCTAGGCGGGGAAGGGACCGGGCATGACGAAGGTGGGGGTATGGAGGCGGAAGGCAGGAGGTGGATGTTGGAGGACAGAGGGGTGAGGGAGAAGGGAGGAGCAAGGCAGGTGGAGGGAGGTGGGATGAGGATGAGGATGAGGGGGAGGATGAGGGGGAGGGTAAGGGGAGGCGTTGATGGTGGGACGGTGGCATAGACATGACAGTCGTGCTCAACTGTTGCATCACGAATTCAACATCATTCATATGCTCGAGGCCCGGAAGGAGACCACCTGGGCACTGAGCCGAGGGGGAAGCACGATAATCCAGAGGGAAGTATGCCTGCTGCGTGCAGGCGGAATGGCATTACCTGCTAAGAGAAGGCCGGGCGGGTACGACGCAGGAAGGGAATGGGCTGACGGCCCCCGAAGTGGAGGTTCAGGTGTGGTCCGTGGGAAACACTTCAGGCAATCACATCCTCGCCGGCACCTGCAGAGCGGAGCGGGCTGGGTGGGGACGACTCACGAAGGGAACGTGCGACTGACTCTGCCGCCCCTTAATGGATACTCGGGTATGGGCACTGGCAACGGGGACGGTTGAAGTGCGGAGACAGTTTGGCCTGGAGCGTCCCATATATATATATGTATAGATAGATCGATCTATACACACATATATATATATAGAGAGAGAGAGAGAGAGAGAGAGAACGTTCGCATTTGCCCCGGTCAAATTGGCATGCGGGAGAGTCCAGTCTTGGCACGCTTGTACGCGGCCACTCGTGTCCGTCTGGGAGCTGTTCTACTATAGGTGTTGCTCAGATATTTTGGAAGCAGTCGAAGCGTACGCTTCCTTGCGGTCAAACATGCAGTCAATGCAGAGGAGGGGGTACGACTCAACGTACGATTATTATCATATACTGAATTGGCTGTAGAGGCCCTGGCCAGCCCCCGGAGGATCGGCTTCGTCTTACTGGCAGTGTCGCCAACGGTGTCCAACATCATCCGGTCGACGGGCTCCTTGCAGTCAAGATCCATACGGGATGTGGTAAGCCGTGCCTGGCTCACGGGTGGATCAACGTCGTGCTCTAGCAGCCCGCTCGAGCAGAGGAAGCGCGTTCGTGCTGATGGTCACGAAGGTGGGCTCCACTGTCGAGGAAACCCTCGCCTGTCCCCGCTCCGGCGGCCTGGCCGCGGGGCGCTGGGAGAGCTCGTCCAGGCCAATGCGCACGCCGTAGCAATGCTGGGCCTGTTTTCCACTACCACCATAAGTTGGAGAGGGAGGTGGTCCTCCTCCTCCTCCTCCTCCTCGTCCTCCTCCTCCTCCTCCTCCTCCTCCTCCTCTTCGTCCTCCTCCTCGTCCTCGTCCTTCCCCCCTCCAACTTATGGTGGTGGTGGTGGTGGTCGTGGACACCAGGCACATCAAGCAATCCAGACCCGAGGAGGGACGCAACGCCTCCGAGGCGACGCGGAGCGGGGCGGTCCCTGGAGGTCCGTGGAGCCGGACGCCGCCGGCTCGCCCAGCACGCACGGCGCCAGAGGCAGCAGCCCGCGCGAGCAGCGCGACGTCGCGGGTCCGCGGAGGATCGCCTGCGCGCGCCGCGTAGCCAAGACGCCGTGCTGCCTCCTCCTCCTCCGCCTCTTGCTCCTCCTCCTCCGCCTCCTCCTCCTCCCAGTCCTCCTCCCCCTCCGCCTGCTCCTCCTCCTCCTCCGCCTTCTCCTCCTCCTCCTCCTCCTTCGGCCCCACGGCTGGCAGTGAGGAGGGGCCCGCGGGCGGCGGCGGCGGGCCTGGGCCGCGGCGCCGCGCGCGTGAGCGCAGCAGCTCGCCTCGCGTGGCCAAGGTTGCCAGGCAGCAGGAGGAGGGACAGCCGCCTGCAGGTGAACCTGCTGCTCGAAGCGAAGCAGGGGCTGTGGGCGGCAGCGCCGAGGCCAGGGAGGCCAGGATGCTGGACGTGAGCCTGCCGCCTGCAGGTGGCTCTGCTGCTCGATGCGAAGCAGGGGCTGCGGGCGGCAGCGGCGGCTGGCCGAGGCCACGGCGCCGCGCGCGGGAGCGCAGCAGCTCGCCAGGCTTGGCCGCCAAGGTGGCAAGGCTGCTGAGGGCGGCGCGGGGTGAGGCCTGCCCGACGGCCTCGGGCGCGTAGCCCGCCGAGGCGGCGGCGCGCGCGGGGGCGCGCGCTAGGGTGACCGTGGTTCGACACGGTCGCCTTACCCCGCGGGCATCCTCCTCCTCCTCCTCCTCCTCCTCCTTCTCCTCCTCCTCCTCCTCCTCCTCCTCCCTCCCCTCCCTCTCCTCCTCCTCCTCCTCCTCCCTCCTCCTCCTCCTCCTCCTCCTCCTCCTCCTCCTCCTCCTCCTCCTCCTCCTCCCCCTCCTGCTCCTCCTCCCTCCTCCTCCCTCCTCCTCCTGCTCCTCCTCCTCCTGCTCTTCCTCCTCTGGATGAACAACCCTTCGGCGGGCGGCTCCAGAGGTCTCGGCGCAAAGGCATTGCGATCGGAAGAGTGTCGTCGCGGCCAGCCTTGCCAGGTGAGTGCGCGTAAGTCTCGCCATAATCGTGGCATCGTGTACTCTGAAGGATCGCTCTGTGGCCAGCCCATGATGAAGCTCACGGAGATGATGCAAATCTCAAGCCCGAATGTGTACGGGGCTGCTCGACACTTGATCGTTTGGTGAACGGAGGAGGGTGGAGGGAGGTTCAGACGAAGGCAGAATCGAGACAAACTCGGTCCGATACAGTTCGGAAATCTCTGAGACTCGGCGGGCTTGGAGGATGTACCGGGCGCCGCGGCCCTTTCTAGCGCGTTCCCCAACGCTCTGAGGGCGTATCGGAACGCTCTGGAACATATTATCTCGATTCTCAGCCCGTCCGAAAGGTGGGCTGATGGAGGATGCGCGGCGGAGGAGGGCGGATGGAGAGTTGATCCCAAGGGCTCAGTGAACGCTCGCGTCGTGGAGTTGGTGGAGCTGGCGCCTACGTTCGGTTCGCGCCGTGTCGACTCGGCCTCGACTCCGCCGTGGGCGTTCAAGACCGAACGCCGCCTGTGGCCCAGAATCGGCCGAGATGGAACGATCTCGCGATCGAGAAGCCGCGATCGTGCGAGGCTGAACGATCCACCTCTCTGCGCGTGGCCGACGTGGGCTCCCCACGTTAGATTGAGCGTCGGTCCCCTGGAGGGGCGCGCACGTGGGGAGGCGGGCGACGCCTCGACGGGGAGGAGGAGCAGGAGGAGGAGATGCAGCAGCAGCAGCAGCAGCAGCAGGGAGGGAGGAGGGAGGGAGGGAGGGAGGAGGGAGGGAGGGAGGGAGGGAGGATGAGGAGGAGGAGGAGAGGAGGGAGGAGGAGGAGGAGGAGGAGGAGGAGGAGGAGGAGGAGGAGGGAGGAGGACGAGGAGGAGGAGGAGGAGAGGAGGAGGAGGAGGAGGAGGAGGAGGAGGAGGGAGGAGGAGGGAGGAGGAGGAGGAGGAGGAGGAGGAGGAGGAGGAGGAGGAGGAGGAGGAGGAGGAGCAGGAGCAGGAGCAGGAGCAGGAGCAGGAGCAGGAGCAGGAGCAGGAGCAGGAGGAGGAGGTGTCCGAAAGCAACGCCGTGGTCGTGACGACACGCCCTCCCGTGCTCCTCGTCGCCTCCAGCCGCGCAGCCGCGTCCGCCAGCCGGCGGGCGGCTCCCCGCGGGGGCCGGGCCCGCCATGGGGCGTCAGCAGCCGGGCCGCGTGCGCGCGGAGGCGGCCGCGCGCCCCTGCCGGCGGCGTCGGGGGCGGGGGGGGGAGTCTTTGGACGCCCGAAATGGGTACTGAAAGAATGGGTACAATGCCCAACAACAATTCCTGATCATTTTCAACAGGATTCGCTGTCCACGCCGCCGCGGCCTGTGTCCATTCGAGACAGAAGGCCGCCTGCCCAACAGCGGCCGCTGTTGGCTTGGGACAACATTTGTTGTTGGGCATAGTGCCCATTCTTTCCGTACCCATTTCGGGTGTCCAAAGAGTCGGCCCTCTGCCCTGCAGGTGGCCCCGCTGGTCCGCATGTCCCTTGGCATCGCTCGGACGTGTGCATTTTTCCTTCGGCGAGGACCATCGAGGAGCATCCTTGACCACTTGGCGGAAGAAACACGCAGGAAACCGAAAAAAGCAGAGGGAATGGACGTCCGAGCGGTGGCCCCTTACGTTGCATCTTCGGGGGACCTCGCCTGTCCCCAAGATTGGTGTCTTTTTTCGTGCCCGACGCGGGCCCGATGCGGACTCGACGCGGATCTGGCGCGAATTTGACGCGGGTTCGACACAGATTCGACACGGATCCGACGAGTCCGACATGGAGTCGACACGGATTCGACGCGGATAGGGCTGCGACGGAACAGACAAGGTCCCCCTAGGGTGCAACATAAGGCCCCGCTGGTCCGCATGTCCGTGCCTCGTGCACCAAGCTGCGCCTGACCTGGTGCTCCCGGTGCCGCGAGGTTCCAAACTCGTTCAAGCCTGGGCCGCAGGGCAGGGTCTCGAGCACCAAGGAGGGTACCGAAGCCTGAGGGGCTTCACGCGTCGGGCCCTGGGAGGCGACGCTCGCTCGACGCCGTTTCGACACTCTTCTGGGTGCTCGATCTGGGTGTCGAAACCAGCTCTGGGAATAAGGACGATGTGGCAACATCATTCTGGTGGTGCTCTCTCTCTTCCTCATCGTTCTTTTCGTCATCCTCCCCCTCCCCCTCCCACTGCCCCTCCCCCATCCCCCTTTTCCTGGTCCTGCTGTTGCTCCTCATGATTACAATCCTTCTCATTCCAGTCTGCCCCTTCTACCCTCCTCCCTTCTCGTCATGCCAGTCGTCACTCTGATCGTTCTTTTTTGGATGATGATGTCTGCAAGTCGAGGGCAGGGAATGGTGACTTCACGTAGAGAGCAGAGGGTCTCTCTCTCTCTATATATATAGGATCCGATCGTATCAGGACTACATTGCGACACCTATCAATTAGAGCCTGAATGAAGCAGCTCGGCTTAGTTGAGAGTAGAGTGCACCCATATATGATATGTGCATATGTATCCAGACAACGAGAGGTGTGTAGCTACACATACACGCATAGGTGCAACGAGAGAGAGAGAGAGAGAGAGAGAGAGTGAGCGAGACAGAAGCGGAATATGTAGAGATAGAGAGAGAGAGAGAGAGAGAGAAGAGAGAGAGAGAGAGAGAGCGAGAGAAGCAACCTATGTATGAGAGAGAGGGGGGGGAAGCGAGAGAAAGAGAAAAAGAGAGCGAGACGGATGTCATGAGAGAGAGAAAGAGAGAGGGAGTGTCAGATCTTAGAAATCAGATTGCAGGGAGCACCGAACTCGTAGTCTATCTGCTTACATCGACCACGTGCGCGCTGTCTCCTACGTGCATCGCACGAAGAGGAGGTGAGATTCCGCGCTTCAGGGTTCCAGGGTTCTGGTTTGTTGTATGTTTCATTTCGTTGTGGCCAGGTTCTGGTGGCCTAAAGAGAACAACCATCGTGTCTGGTGAGAGCCACGTAAGTATGTATCGGGGAACCGAGAAAGAGAGAGCGAACAGTACAGTAATATATATATACACAGATGATAGAAGTATGTCAGGTTGCGATTGCAGAAAGTGGAGAGTAGGGAAGGATAATCGAGTGTTAGGGCAGAGTGTCAAGAGCTTAGAGTGGGGAGTAGAGCGTACAGAGTAAATCGTTAACAGTCGAGCGGTCACGCTCTATAGTAGCGTGTCAAGAACCGAGACTACTTAGAGAGTGTATGAAGCAAGGGGTGAGACATATACCGTAGCACCCCGCAGCCGCGGATAAGAGTAAGGGTGGCGACGTTGACCTCGGCAGTCCGGCAGTCAGCGAGGCTCTGCAGAAGCCCGCCGCAGGCGCCTAACTTGAATAAGCCCCCCGCAGGCGCCTAGAAGTAACAAAGTGTAGAACGAGCCCGCCGCAGGCGCCTACTTTTCGTTAACGCAATGTGGGTGGGTCGCGGGGTGGGTTGCGGGTGGGTCGCGAGTGGGTCGCGGTTGGGTCGCGGGCGGGGTCGCGGGGAGGGTTGCGGATGGGTCGCGGGTGGGTCGCGGGCGGGTCGCAGGGTTGGTCGCGGGATGGGTCGCGGGTGGGTCGCGGGCCGAGCCACGGGGGGGACGACGCCAAACATCAACAAACAACAGCAACAACAGCAACAGCAACAGCAACAACAACAACAACAGCAACAGCAACAGCAACAGCAACAGCAGCAGCAACAGCAACAACACCACCAACAACAACAACACAACACCAACAACAACAGCATCAAACACACCACCACCAACAACAACAACAGCAACAACACCAACACCAGTAATTTTGAGACTGTTCGCTCATATCTGCTCGAGTGTCCATTAACGCGTATTTCCAGAACTCTCGATACCCGCTCTCTTCGTCTTCGATCGTACCCCTTTTGGGGGGTATCGTTTTGTCCTGCACGCCGGGCCCCTGCAAGCGGCGGGGCGGCCGCGGACCGTCGGCCTGGCCAGCGGCAGCGCTGATCCGACCCCAAGAGGGTCGGACAAGGGGCCGACCACAACAACGACGACGACGTCGACGACGACGGCGACGACGACGACGACGACTAGCGAAAGCGAGAGCGAGAGAGAGAGAGAGAGAGAGAACGACAGCAGGGCCACGAAGGGGACGAAGTAGACCACGAAGGGCGACAGCGGGGACACGAAAGGAATGCGTATGGGGCCTCGAAGAGAGCGAACGAGCGGGGGCCACGAAAGGCAGAATATGCGGGGCCACAGAAGGCAACGACGGGGCCACTGAGGGTAGCACGTGGGCCACGTAGGACAGCGATGGGGGCCACACAAGGGCGACAGCGGGGCCACGAAGGGCATGCACGTTGGGCCATGACGGGCGCGAGCGAGTGGGGGCCACGAAGGGCGTGCGTATATTGGGCTGCGGAGGGCAGGGACGGGGCCACTGAGGGCAGCAACGGGACCACGAAGGGCAGCGATGGGGGCCAAGGAGGGCGACATCGGGGCCACGACGGGCATGCGTATGGGGCCAGGGCGTGCATATTTGGGGCCACGAAGGGCAGCGAGGGGGCAATGACGGCTGCAACGAGGCCACGCAGGGCAGCGAGGGGACCACGAAGGGCTGCATCGAGGGCCACGAAGGGCAGCGAGGGAGCCACGAGGGGCTGCAACGGGACCTCGAAGGGCAGCGAGGGGACCATGAAGGGCTGCAACGGGCCACGGAGGACAGCGAGGGGACCACGAAGGGCTGCAACGGGGCCGCGAGGGGCAGCGAGGCGGCCACGAAGGGCTGCAACGGGGCCACGAAGGGCAGCGAGGCGGCCACGAAGGGCTGCAACGGGGGCCGCGAAACAAAGCGAGGGGGCTACGAAGGGCTGCAACTGGGCCACGAAGGGCAGCGAGGGGACCACGAAGGGCTGCATCGGGACCACGAAGGGCAGCGAGGAGGCCACGAAGGGCTGCAACGGGGCCGCGAAGGGCAGCGAAATGGCCACGAAGGGCTGCAACGGGGCCACGAAGGGCAGCGAGGGGGCCACGAAGGGCTGAAGCGGGGCCCGCGAAGGGCAGCGAGAGGGCCACGACGGGCTGCAACGGGGCCATGAAGGGCAGCGAGGGGACCACGAAGGGCTGCAACGGGGTCACGAAGGGCAGTAAGGGGGCCACGAAGGGCTGCAACGAATGCCACGAAGGGCTGCAACGGGGCCACGAAGGGCAGCGAAGGGGCCTCGAAAGGCTGCAACGGGGGCCGCGAAACAACGTGAGGGGGCCACGAAGGGCTGCAACGGGGCCACGAAGGGCAGCGAGGGGACCACGAAAGGTTGCAACGAGTCCACGAAGGGCAGCAAGGGGGCCACGAAGGGCTGCAACGGGGCCGCGAAGGGCATCGAGAAATTGATTCCTAAGTAATCTGTGAGGGGTTCCGAAGCGTGAGCGCAACTCCTGGGTGCCTGAGTGTCGGGAGCGCGGCGCTGGAGTAAATTGCGGAAAATTCCAACGCAACGGCGTTTTTCTTGAGTCGATTACAATCGAGTCTCTAGTGACAGCGCGACTCCAGAGCGCCGAGAGCGCGATTCCGGAATAACTTGTAAAGGAGTCCCAAGCGAGAGCACGACTCCTGAGTAACATGCGAGGAAGTCTCGGGCGGGAGCGGGGGTCCTGGCTTACTTGTGAGGAAGTCTCAGGCGGGAACCGTTCTTGTTGGGACTTGGGGGGCCAACAACGCAGTTTGAGGACTGGGACCTTCCCTGGTAAAAAAGGGTGCGGGCGCCGGGATGACGGTGAATGACCGTTCGAGGTTTTCACTCCGATTAGAGTAGCGCCATTGCTTAGAGCAGGATTGGGTGGCAGAGCCCAGAGCAGAGAGCAGGAGAGAGGAAAGACTCGCACACTTTTCTTTATTAGATTGAGGACCAGGTCGTACGTCATTCCTGGCTCTTTTTGTGCGGATGCCCATCGCTTGTGCGCTGCATGTGATTGGGGTATCCCCAAGCGCTGCTTTATCCGGGAGGAGAACATTAGGACATACAGTTTCATCACCTGGGTACTTGTGTTGTGTAGGCTGTCATGAATGAAGTGCGTCGCAGTTGCTGAACATACGACCCCCCAAGGCCTCCTCTTTGAACACTGCCCGCCGCTACATGCAATTTATTCTCAGGCCCCGTTCAGAGAGGAACGCCTCAATTTTCTACCCCCCCCCGATGGCGAGATTACAAGCGTAATTCATGTTGC